AATTAATTGAAGTAGAAATATTATGTAATTGGAACTTTACTATAATATTGAAGGTTAAAATTACACTTAATGAAGTTTTTTAAATAATAATGTAGTACCAACAGATTCTCAGGTATATTTTACAGCATTACATACAGTACATGAAAATTTGGCATGTACTGCACCTGATATATATCCAAAATAATCGATATTGAATCGAATCAAATCGGTAGGCTAATCGAATTGAAAGCTTGTGAATGAGAAACGAATCGTGAAATTTGTGTCAAAACCCAGCCCTAATATATATATATATATACATATATATATATTTTTTTTTTAAATAGATTGCATTAGTGCCTGCTCACTTTTATTAAAAATGCTGAACTAAGTCAACCAACTACGGAGTGAATCACAGCAATTATAAAACTTTGATTTGAACCCAAACTTTATAAAAGTTTATAAAGTATCAATAAAAATTTATTGTAGAAAACAACTGTAGAATAATTGTAGAAAATGAATGAAGTTTTTACTTCGGTAACTGTTGCGCTATTATATTGTTCTTGAAAATTCTTTATATATTTATGTATACAAATGATTAATTATCTATCTGTAAATTTCAAAGGAAATTTAATTTATTATGGTTGAGGGTTGCGAGAGGCAAAAAAAGCACGAAACATGAACCACAAGATCAAACTGAAATACTCAGCTCTTCAACAACACCTCAATTCACAGATATGAAGGATGCTTATTGGATCTACAAAGTTAAATGTCATATTACTCGACTAAACTGTATTTAAAAGTGAGCTTATGACTTAGTTACAAACTAAACTAGTTCCTAAGCCACACAGTGTAAACTTTCTGTCCCAATTTAAGAAAGAGTTCACGAACAACTGGTACAATTCCTCTACCCTGGTGAGCACTAATAAGCTCAAGTCTTATATCTAAGAATAAAAGCTGGTACGCATCCACAAATGTTGCGCCACTGTAGCATTAGATATCACACAGTCAGAGAATCTGTGATCATTTTCTCAAAGTACGTGTCCCAATTTCTGTTCGCCACAAAGGCAGATCCAGAGATGTGATGTGTGTCGGTTCAAGAGCTCATCTCAGTGTTTTTCCCGCCCCTATTCTTCCCATTACGGATCAGCTGGAGGGCTGTAACGATACAGTCAGTGTACGATACATTCTGTGACTATCCATGCTGACCTCCTCCCACTCATTCAAACCAAATTGGTGTTATTGAAATAAGAGCAAACTCGCACATTTTATCCGATACAGACATCCTGTGCAACCTTGCATAATTGAGGCTGCTAAATATGTGATTCCAACTAAGAATATTCATCAACTCTGAGCACTTCTGAAATGCACCTGGCAAGAGAACAATTTTGCATTTTCATTCTTTATCGGAATAAAATGTGAATGCATGTCATTAGGCAGGAGAGATGCAATTACAGGGCGAAAAGAGAAAGTCCTCCCACACACATTTTACCTGCCAGTGAGGCATGTCAGAATTAATAAACCTGTGTCTGCAAATGAAAATCCTTGCTAAAAGCCTGGGACAGGTGACATGTAGTTGCGCTCTTTTCAACGCAAACTAGATTCCAGTAATTTGGTCCATTTAGCGCTCCAATTTCATCACGCTGTCGTACGAAAAAGACTAAATAGTCTGTCTCCATTACGACAACTGTGGATGACCAGCATTACCTGACGATGACATCTTCGGTACAGCTTTCTAAACCCGTCACGGCCATCTTTACGTCTATAACTGCGCCTACCATATGAAGTAAATGCTGAAAAATACAGGAGAAAATGTCTATGCTTTTAATGGCACAGAAAAGTGACATTTAATGCACTCAAAGACTCGGGAAGCCAGAAGGTCACGCTGAGCCAGTGTGAATAGCAAACGGAAAACTCAAAGGCTTTCAATTGCACAAATGAGTTCTGATGCAAAGGGTGAAGTCATTGTGCTGTTCAAAAATCACACATTAGATCTCACCGAGGGGAGATACATTCATCAAGACTACCAAAGGGATAACATGCTTCTTTCAAGTGCACAATCACTGGAAACCTGCATTGAGCTGTTGTAGATAAATGGAGCATAATGGTAAATGTAAAAAGAAGTCAACTACTACAAGAAAGAGCGTAAGAGATATATTTTCAGTTTCAGAAGGAGAGAAAACATTATGACATAAAGCAACAACATGGCTGACATTGCTGTGGCTGGATTAGAAGGTGGATATGTTCCTGTGCTGTACACTTCTAAGACGAAAGATGTGATAGACTTTAAACATTTATTTTATTTTATTATTTCTTCTGGTGCAAATATGGAATATGTACTCAAATCACAAAGTGGGCGCACTGTTGAGCCTGGAGGAAGGTGGTGGGCTCCAGCAGGGATGAAGGTCCTAAGGCAGGGAGGGCAGTTTCTCACACTCCCTCTAACAAGTTACAACATCTTCCTCTTCTCAAACTCCTGCAGAGAACAGGGAAGAGTAAACAGGGGTCAAAAAAACATGATCGGCAGGGGCTGGGAGCAGGGTCTGCCTTCAATCTGTCCATAGCAGGGGTCTGTTATGCAATTAGTTTTGTTTGAGTCAACAAAGTTTACTGCCATGATTTGTTAACATTTGCTGTATTAATAAAGAGTATACTGTGCTTAAAGTGCTGAAATAATAAACAAAATAACTAGTGTGGTCAAACATTCAAAAAAAAAGTTTTTGTTTATGTAATATATGTGTGTACTGTGCATATATATTATGTATATATAAATACACACATACAGTATATATTTTGAAAATATTGACATGTATTTACATGTATAGATTTATATTTATATAATTTGTATTATGTATAAATATACCAATATACATTTTTTCTTAAATATATACATGCATGTGAGTGTATTTATATATACATAATAAATATACACAATACACACACATATATTATGTAAACAAAATCTTTTATTTTGGATGCGATTAATCGTTTGACAGCACTAAAAATAACAAAAGAAGAGAAAAGCCAGATTTGTGCAGCACAGTCAATTGATATTTTTAAATCTTATATTTTTTGTTATCTTTTCCATTATACGTTTCACATGCTGTTTTTAAAATAAGCATTTTCATTTATTGATTGTACTTTTTTGTTTTAACTAAGGTTGTTTTCATTATGTAAATCACTCTGAGAAGCTTCTTTTAAAGGCGTTGTATAAATTAAAGACATTAAAAATTACTTCTTTGTCTCATGTTGTTCCAAACCTGTTAATTTTATTCCTTCAATGGAACATAAAAAGAATGTCCATGTTGCTCTTTTCCATAAAATAAAAGAGGATCAGGATCAGAGACACAACAGGACAAAAAGACTCATTTTGTATTCCAAACAAGAAAGGAACAGGTTTATAACAACTTAGAAATTATGATAGAATTTTCATTTCTGGGTAAATTATTCCTTGAAATGCAAAATATGATCTCCTTAAGAGAGTGTCCCTCAGATTATGACACGCTGGTAACTATCTGCTAAAGCTGTTTTTCCTTCAACCAGAATTATTTTTATTTTTCATCAAATTTTGAAACCATTCTTTGGAAATGTGGTTTGTACTGTATTTGTCTCAGATGTTTTGATATTTTTCGTGTTTTAGGAGAAAATGCCACTCTGATTTGACCTTGCCTGTTGCACAAAATCTTTCATTGCTGCACGGTACTTTACTGTTTGCTCAAAAGCAGTAGTGCTACTGTAAATTGTTCTGCTGATGAAAAACATGAATCTGCATTCTCAATTTAATGTCTGGGTAAGCACAAGTGTGCTGAAATAAATGTTTTTTTAAAATGATTAAAAAATAAAATATATAAACTTTGCTTACAACCGACAAAATTGAATTTTTATTCGCGCGCAAAGCCCGCGCAACAACCTGGCAGAGGTAATATAAACTGAGGCTTGTGTCGGTTGCACGCATAACGGACTTCCCCTCTGAATCGCCAGACATCAGCTGCGAGTTTTCCTGTGGGAAGTACTTTTCACTTACTTTTAAAACGTAAACCATTACCAATATCAATGAAATTTAAAAAATACGAAGAAAGTAAATATAAAATCGAATTATATGCTATTACTAGGACAGTCTGAGGGAAATGTTCGTTTTCCTCAAAAACTGTCACTTTCATGAAACTCATTCAATTGTCCTGCAACTGACTGACTGCCTTTTCAAGTACATATGTCTAGTATTTAAACGAACAATGATTTTTCGACTTTTTTTTACTGCTGGTTATGGTATATTTTACTCGTCAGTTAAATGAATACCGTTAAATGTGTGACGTCATTTGAAATAGCACGCGCGCTCTCTCTATCCCGTGCGCGTTCTCTCTCGCGCTCTCTCGTAAATAAAACATTTACTCCAGTGCATATACCAGAGAAAAAATATATATATTCAAGTAAAATTATAAT